AACAAGAAATTTAATATTTGTTCATTGCTCTAATTCAAACTCCGGCATTCTCATGACGACAGCTCTGATGGCCATTCCAGAAAAAGTGTTCCAAAATTGCTTTGACTAGGTGCTGGCATCAGTTCATAGCTTCCCAAGGGGAGTACTTCAAAGGTGAACATAGTTATCCTCAGCAATGAGGTATGTAGCACTTTTTCCCTAGGACTAGTTTGTGAACTTAATTGTCAGACCTCATATGTAAAGGTCAAATGCTTTTGCAATGGGCCTGTGCAGCCTTTAATACTAATCCTTCTTTCCCTCTCTTCCCGAAGCTTTGTGTTTTGTTAACTTTATGCCTGCTTTTAATTTCATGATCTACTGTTTATATTTCAGTGGTAAATTGTGCTGGGCTCAGAGAAGTAACTGTGTTATTCTCCACATTTGCTAATTTATGTCAAAATACTTATAGTAATTTTAATTTGAATGCTTAAAATTCCAGAGCACCAACATATTTCCCCATCTCCTTCATATAATAAATGTGTCTGTGCTAACCATAATTCTGTAGTCATTTGGATTGTAAGATATTTGCTTGCTGACTATATGAAACTATTTATGAGGATTTTTTTTCTACTAGATCACAGTACCTAGCATTATAATTTGTGCATAGTATAGGCATCTTTGATAAACTATAAAGACTCAAAAATTAAATTGTGGTGTGGCTTAAATTCAAAACCATCATATAATACATTAAATGGATGATGCTCTGTCAGTTGCACAACGAAATTCAAATGTTTGAGCTTCTATCTTGAAGCTTTTTCCTTTCAAAGAGATGTATTTTTTTATGACTCATTCATGTGGGACACTGGAACCATATGAAGTGGCATTTTTTTTCTATTGTTAAATAGAGTGCAAATGTCAGGACATTAGTAAAGCCTGTAGCTCAGTAAATCCTAAGGTGTCAAAGCTATATCCATTGCAGTTCAGCTTTATTAGGCTGTTTGTGTCATAAGAGCAGATGATTTTAGCTGAAGTACATAGCAAAAAGGGAAATTGGACACATGGCTGACAATCAAATCTAAGAATGTCTTGAAATACAGCTTTGAGCATGTCATGTGCAGTAGAAGCGGGTGGAACTACTGCAATAGGTCAAGGATTGACTACTCCTGACTTTGAGTTACATATTTTACCACAGCACCTAATACTTTACTGTTTATATTCCTGCATCAGACCAAAATTGTTAACCTATTAAGGGATAGCGAGTGTGGTTTATTCTCTTTGTATTCCCAATGCTGATTACAGGGTCTAATACATAGAATCAATGTGTGTTTACTGAACAGAAAATTGTACAAGCTAGATAACTAAAAATCCTTCCTGACATTTGCTTCTCCCTCACCTTCATAACTAATCCATCACTTAATCTTTCTTACCACTTAAATATTGTTTTAGAGCCACTCATTTCTCTTCATCTCTTCCACCACAGTCCCTATTATCTCAGTCCAATTTACTATCACCTTTCAGAGCCTTTTACTTGGATCCCTGCAGTGGCTTGCTGACTGGTCTTCTCCCACTACACTGCTCCCTCTTTAGTACCTTCTCTGCATTACAGCCAGAATGTCCTTTTAACAACACAACCCCTCCAAAGACTTTTTGCTGTCCTTTTGTTATAATAACAAGTCATCATCATCATCATCACCATCACCATCATATTGACAGTATCTTTAACTGAGGCATACAAATAGGGTGACAATGTCGTTTATCATTCATACTGAAACATGTTTTAATGTAAAGCGGACACCACTAATAATCATGCAGGACGACATGGAAACAGTGTGCTTGCCCTTCCTGCCTCCAAGGCTCTGCAGAATCTGGGTCCTGCTCATCCTGCTTCCCTTCAATCTCTCTCACCTGCAGTAAGCCTTGTTTTTCAGACTTGTACTTCACCGTGTTTGCTCCCATCACAGGGCCTTTCCACATCTTTCTATGTGTTTTGACCCCTACTGATAATTTAGATCCCAGCTTCGACATTCCATATCATTTGACTGGCTTACATCTCCATAATATAAGTTCTTATCACACTAACAGATGGCAATTTTATATTTATTTATTTGAATAAATAAATGAATACTAGTAGGAGGTTGCTAATATATTATCAATAAATCAATTATAATGAAATATAGTGTTCAGCACAATGGCAAAAGAAACTCTACTGTATATTTAAATTTACATATTCAGTTTATATGCTACAGTCTAATGTGCAACTAGTCTCAATTTTAACATTGCTAATACGCTATTTAGTGTTTAATTTATTAAATATACAGTAACTTAATTAAAAGTTCAGCTTAGTAACTTCACAAATAAATTACCAAAAATTTGAAGTTAGATATGAACTCTTGAGAAAGTTTCCTTACTGAGAAATCTGTGACATTTAGAGTCAAAATATATAGAATTTGTGGGTTCTAGAGCCAGATTATCTGGGTTAAATCATGACTTCATCACTTACTGGCTGGGTACCCTTGAGCAAGTTATTTAAATTCTCCATACCTATTTACCCATCTGTAAAATTGGTATAACAATGGCATCTATTTTGTAAGGCTTTTGTGAGAAATTAATACACATAAAGCACTTAAAGTAGTTTCCAGCATATAGTAAATATTCAGTAAGTACTAGCTATTGCTGTTATTTGTGTTATTATATGTATTCATTCAGCAAGTATCTACTGTATTTATTATCTACTTTGTTTCTAATATTCTATGTGCTATGAATTTAGAAGTGAACAAGAGATGTACTGAGAAATAACTCATAAATATTTTAATTTTAAAATCTGATAAATATTGTGAATGCAATAAGTATAACTTATTAGGGCATATGGGGAGGGGGCTTTAGTTAAACTGAAGGGATAGAATAAATCAGCATGGACAGAACATCCTAGGTAGAGGAAATAGCAAGTACAGAGACCCCTAGGTAGATGTCTTAGTTCATTTTCTGCTCCTGGAACAGAATATGACAGACTGGGTGATTTATAGATGATAGAAATTTATTTGATTAACGGTTCTGGAACTGGGAAGTCCAAGAACATGGCACTGGCATCAGCAAGATCCTTCACACTGCATCATCCCATGGTAGACGTCAGAAGCATAAGGGAGTGCATGAGACAGAGGGAGGGTGGGATCTCAACTTATCCTTTTTTATTAGGAGCCCACTTCCTGGTAATTAACCCACTCCTACAATACTGGCATTAATCCATTTATGAGAGTAGAGCCACATGATATAATCACCTTCGTAGTACTGTTACAATGGCAATTAAATTTCAACATGAGTTTTGGATGGAACATCCAAGCCATAGCAGTAAAAAAGAGCTTAGCCTGGGTTTAAGTGTGGAAGAAGCCAAGTGCCGAGTGTACCTGAAGTGCTGTGTGTGAGAAGAGGGAAAGAAGCCTATAATATAGATAGGAAGCAGGTTATGCAGGTGGACCTTGGAAAATTTTTGTAGAAAAATGAGCAGCTACCCAATTCTATTTATTTTGCTGATGAAGAAATAAACACCCATATATCCTGAATCATGTAGCTAATTATTGCTACATGACCCTGCAGTTATCATACCTGTTAATCTTACTTATCCTACCTTTAAAAAAAAAACTAATGAAGACCAAGTGCAGTGGTTCATGCCTATAATCCCAGCACTTTGGGAGGCTGAGGCAAAAAAGATTGCTTGAGCCCAGGAGTTCAAGACCAGCCTGGGCAACATAGTTAGAACTTGTCTCTAAAAAAAAAAAAATGGGTTTGGTGGAATGGTGGCAGCACATGCCTGTAGTTTCCAGCTACTCAGGAGGCTGAGGCAAAAGGATCACATGAACCCAGGAAGTTGAGGCTGCGATGAGCTGTGATCATGCCACTGTGTTCCAGCCTAGGCACTAGATTGAGCCCCTGCTTTAAAAAAAAAAAGAAACACCAAAAACCAAATGAGATTTCTTTTTAACCATACAAAGAAGTAAAGTTTGACCTGCTCTTCTTAAACTACCCTGTTACATATGTCTCTATCACTCTCCTGTCCCCTAGAGAGCAACTCTTATCCTGACCTCTAACACCATAGATGAGTTTTGTCTAGTTCTGAACTTTTATTAACTTTTGAATGGAAGCATATGCTGTAACTTCTTTTTTCTGTCTGACTTCTTTCAGCATTATGTCTGTGAGATTTATTCATGCTGTTATGTGTAGCAGTGTTTGGATCATTCTTTTTTTTTTTTGAGTTGGAGTCTCACTCTGTCACCCAGACTGGAGTGCAACGGCCGCTCCCGGCCACCGCAGCCTCGACCTGCTGGGCTCCGGCGATCCTTCTACCTCATCCTTCCAAGTAGCCGGAATTGCAGGCATGCGCTACCACGCCCGACTGATTTTTTTTGATTTATTGTAGAGATGAGGTCTTGCTGCCCAGGCGGGTCTCGAACCCGCGGGCTCAGGCAATCCACTCACCTCAGCCTCCCAAAGGCGCGGGATTACAGGCTGAGCCACCGAGCCCGGCTGGATCATTCTTGTTGCTGTATAGTATTCCATTATGTGAATATACCACAGGTTCCCTTTTTTATATCCCATAGAATGTTACTAAAAGAGACCATTTGTGTGTGTGTGTGTGTGTGTGTGTGTGAAAAGCTATATTGTGATTCATGTGATTTATGTATGTTAATTTTGCTTATCTTAGCTTTATAAAACCACTTGAAGATTATATGAGGAAATTTCTCTTTTATAGCCTACAGACGCTTCATTGTTATTTTGAAAACAGATTGTGTAGTTAAAACCAAAGGCTTGTAAAAGCAGGGATTACAAGGTATATCCCTTTGATAAGCTAGTATTGATCAGAAGTAGAAATGACTTGGATTAATCTGTCCGATGCTTTTGAATGATGTTGTCATTATACTTTATCTTTGCTTTTTAATATAAGGTTTAAATAGTTGATTTATTAATTGGTTAAATGTCATTTTTCATGTATTTCATTCTGTTTTTTTTTCTTAATATATTTCAGATGATGTCGCACCATATTTTAAAACAGAGCCAGGCCTACCACAGATTCACCTGGAAGGGAATCGCCTTGTTCTCACTTGCCTTGCTGAAGGAAGCTGGCCTTTGGAATTCAAGTGGCTGCGCAATGACAGTGAGCTTACCACCTACAGCAGCGAATATAAGTAATTGATTGCTTGAAAATCAGATTCCATTTCAATTGATGTGTTTGGAATACTTGCCTTATAGGCCATAATAGCACAATGAGTGAAAATATTGGACTGAATTTCTAATGCATTTAAGATAAAAAAGATAAAGTTGAATATGTAATTAGAATATGATTTGCTATTCTTGTATAGGTAGTATTTACACATAGAAAATCTATCAATATATTTGTAAAAGTAAGCCTGTTAGTGAAACTACCAGACCAAAAAAAAAGCTATAGTTACAGAGGAATGCACATAGCTTTAATAGGATAAATTTGCTTTCTTGCGGCAATAGTCCCACCCACAAATATTATTCCTACTTCATGAACATAGATGTTTAAACAGACATCTTTAGGTTGGTAGCTTCGGGATCTCTGACTATTCAACAAAATTCTTTCCTCGCTAAATAGTCAAGTCGAATTGGGATAGGAAAGGATGGAACCATGGAGAATGGGCATGAGTATAGCATCTATATTCAGCAGCAAAAAACAGAATATTGAACTCCTGCCTTGTGTCCAGTCCCAATGGTAAGCACTGGGGATACAAAGAACATGGCGTGGACATAGTGTGGGGATGGAGCACATAGGTTGAAATTGGGGCACAGATAGAGATCAGGGGCATTCTGAGGTGTGACTTTATACAGAAGCAGCAGTGCTGCCTTTCAAGCCTCAGTATCTTAACAGTGCTTGAGAACTTTTCAGGTTTGTACTTTGTCAGGATTATTATAGTAGATGCTATAGTTCCATGTAGGATGGAAAGCTAGTGGGCCTGAAAAGTTCAGGAGGCTCCAAAGTCAGCAAATTCAGCAATACCATGTTCTTCTTTAAATGAAATAAGAAAGAATTGGCTGTAAAGAGGGTTTTGAATGGAATAATAAATTTCTCACCATGGGGCATCCACTCATTCTCTTTATCTCAGAGGCAGTAATATAGTGATCCCTGAACTACATTCAGCCTGTCCAGAATGTGTGTGTGTGTGTGTGTGTGTGTGTGTGTGTGTGTGTGTATTGGTGTATGTGTAATATGTATTGTATGTATATTGGTGTATGTTTGAAAACTCAATTAAAAATATATGGGGGTGCCAAAAAATGTATATACATTTTAAGTGATATTATCAATGTATTACTTTTCCAAGTTGAATGTGTAGTATGATGGTTGCTCAAAAGATAGCGTTAATAAAATGAATACTAGCATCACCTTGTGACAGGCAGGACAGTCAGAGAAAATGGCAGAAGCATGGTTGTCATTCAGGAGCACAAGACCATTTTGAAATGGTACTTGAAATTCAAGAACATTGTGGAAGTACAATGACAATGGAGGTGTGAGTCTGCAACAGAACCTCCCACACACCTAACAAGTTGCATGCATTTGTGCTAAGTTTGAGATGCATGGTACTGTGTGTGATGGGCACAGGGGAAGATCTGGGAAGCCTTGCACAGCAACCAGTCCTGCTTCTTCTGCTATGGTGTTGGAACAGCTTACTTCTCCTCACCACAGAAGTCTACCAAACAATGTGCATATAAGACAGAGGTTAGAAGAATACGACATATTTTTAAAACTGCAAAATGGAAAATTTTCATCCAAAGATTATTACATGCACTGAATGAAGATGACCATGATCAAAGGGTGCAGTATTAGGAGTGGTTCCAAAACATGGTAAGAGAGGGTGAGGAGTTTGTGGGGAAAATGGTTTGGCCTGATGAAGCACAGCTTAATTTGAACAGAATAGTGAACCAACATAATTGTGTATACTGTTGGGCTCCCGAAAATCCACACATTTATGTGGAAAAAGAAGTCAATTCACCAAGTCTCAGTGTCTGGTGTGGACTGTTATTAAGGGAACTAATTTGACCATTCTATGTTGAAGGTACTGTTACTGGTCAGGTGTACCTAGATATGCTGTGCACATTCATTTTACCTGCAGTGTGTACACTTTTTTGGAAATTATTGATTTTGCTTCCAACAAGATGATGCCCCACTGCATCTCCATCTAGATGAGAGAGCTTACTTCAGTGAGAATTTGCCAGGACAATGGATACGACAAAGAGGTACAGTTGAGTTTCCCCATGCATTCTGGACTTAACACCCCTTGACTTCTACCTATGGGGGACCTTAAAGGATGTAGTTTTCCATAGAAAACTGGTACGCTGGCAGTACTTTGGGAAGAAACTGAAATGGCAAGAACAGAGATACAAGTGGACACTTTGGTCAATGTTGCTCAAGCAGTAGTTCAACATGATCAGAAGTGTCTAGATGCTGATGTAACCACTTTGAACAACTCTTATAATTGCAGGAGTCAAACATGACTTGTATTCATCTTTTGTTATTGGTATATATATTGAGTTTTATAATTTTAATACAGTTTTTTCCTTTCTTAAAATGTGTATACATTTTTTGCCACCCTGTGTATATGGGAATACATACAGCATATTTTCTTTTATTGATTACTCACATTTGACAATTGTAAGATTCTATATAAAAACTCTGCTTTCTAGCTTCTGTAGACCAGTCAGAAGGCCTGGCCCTGCAGGTCTGCAGCCATACACAGGAGCAAGTGGCTCAGAGGAACTGTCCCCACCAAAGGCATAGACACTCCCTGGTTCTCTTCAGTGCTCTCTGGCCTTTTTCTTCCTTGAGCATCACACTTATTCTGCTTACTTCTATTGTCCACTTTTCCTTTAGGCATGTGAGTGTGTGACCTCTTACATTATTAGGCCTGTCCTGTCAGAGTGTCTGCTTTTAGGGGAGCAATTTATCATAATAGATCACAGCACATTGAAATGAAACAGTCCTAGATTGGAATCCCAGCTCTATTACATATTAGCGTTAGTGCTATAACCTTGGGCAGGCAGTTCATGAGTCCTATTGCAAGTTTAAACACATACTGAAGTATCTGCAAAATGAGAATGATCACACTTCATTTGGGGTGTTGTAAGCTTTAAAAGGCTCTAATGAATGTAAAACAGCATATTTTCTGGCACATAAACACTCTTTTAATAAATCTGAGGCAACACCATACATTATCATGTGATATTATTATGGGACTTGGTTTGTTAGGACGACGTAGGGAAGCAAATTTTTTTAAAGACTGTACTTAGAAATGAGAACCACGTATGAGTGATAGGCTTTGATGACAGAAGGCTTGAGTTTAAGTACTTGCTATTCAACTTATTTATGTGAATTTGGACAAGTTATCTAACCTTTTTGATTTTTCTTTTTTCATCTGTAAAATTAGTATAATAAAGGCTACCTCATAGGGATCTTATATAAATTAAATGACATACTGCTTTGAGTGTCCCACAAAAAAATGAATGGGGAGTTTCAAAAGAACCCAGATTGTCCTTCCTAATAAAAAGTAGTAGTGATGTGTATAATCTATAATGGTGGCCTTCAAACTGAGGTATATACCATGTATAGTGGGAAAGGACTTGTTTTCTAGATCTTCAGTTTCCATCTGGATATTTTCTAAAATAGAACTTCCCTAGATTATGCCTTTGTCTAGACACCAAGCCATTTCTCTGTTCCTTACTACCCATAATAGTGATTTTTTTTTCTTCACTTCACAAAAGGAATGCATTCCTCTCTCTTACCTGAGTCTTCTTTTGAAATTATATCTTGGTGATACAAGAGTGAAAAGAACATATCAAAGTTCTAACAGTTAAAGAACTTTTTCCTTTTTAAGTGGGTAACATGGGTCTCAAAATCATGATATTATTTGCATTTCTTTGAATAAACAGTCTCCAACTTACGGTGGTTCGACATAACAATGTTTCAGCTTCACAGTATGAAACCATTCTGTTTTTCACTTTTGGTACAGTATTTAATAAATTACATGAGGTATCTAACACATTATTTTAAAATAGACTTTGTGCTAGATGAGTTTGCCCAGCTGTAGGCTAATGTATGAGGGGGGACCCAAAAAACCCCAGAGTTTATTTATTAAAAATTGTGTATTTATTCTTTCATGTTTAAATTTTAGTTACCTTCAAAGTACTCTCCATTTAGTGCAATATGCCTGTCAAGATGCTTTTCCACTGCTCGGAACAGATTTTGAACTTGTCAATTGTGAGGCCTTTTAGTGCTTCTGCCATTTTTTGTTTTCACCTTTTTCACATTGGGAAAACATTTCCCTTTGAGGACTTTTTTCATCTGGGGAAATAAAAAAAAGTCACTCAGGGTGTGATCAGGTGAATAGGAAGGGTAGGGCATGAACGTCATACCTTTTTTTGGTCATTAACTACTGAACACTCAGCACTATGTGGGCAGGCGCACTCCTAAATCACCCATTATGAAATGGGCAAGCATGTTGAAAGACTCTCCCCACCCCAAAATTTACTGAAACCAAATGCAGCCTCTCACAACAACACTAGCTGATACACTGATGCCAATGGGTTCCTAGAACACTTACCTAGTGGGAAGAGCCTGTACTACAAAGGGCCCACTCTCCAAAAGATAATTCCAGGTTTTTGTGGGTTCCTCCTCGTAAGTGTTCTGAGCATGTAGGCTAAGCTATAATGTTTGGTGGTTAGGTGTATTGAATTTATTTTCAACTTATGATATTTTCAACTTATAATGAGTTTATTGGGAAATAACACTGTCATAAGTTGAGGAGCATCTGTTTTCAAAATCGTTATGTGGCAGTTTTATTTTTAAATGCCAAAATGTACAATATACCCTTATTATATATGCAACTACTGAAACATGTAAGGCAGTTTTGCTGTCAACTTGAAAACGCAGGAAGAGGTAGAACTGTTTTTGCAGTGCTGCTTTCAAAAGAAAATTTACCTGTTCATTTAAAACACCCCATAGATAATCCAGAAGAAGACAAAACATTACTGGATGTATTGAAGCAAGAGTGAAGGAGTGACTCATTATATATGGGCTATTAAAATAAGGTGGATGCTTCACTACTAGTTCAGTGGAAACGTGATAAGAAAAAATGGTTTATTCTGAAGCAAGAATCATTTGGGGTAAATGTGA